TAACAACTCTATAATACTTTCTTCCATAATTTATCACAAGAAAATTTCCTCACAATCTTTTATATCTTTAAACTGTTATAATCTCTACATAGATGTTGAATCAAATTGGTGCGGATAGTTCACGATTCAAATCCATGAAACATTCAATATATAATGTATATAGTGCAATCTCAAGTCTCTTCATAATTAGCTATTGGAAGTATCAATGGCACTCTCGACTTCATCACTCTTGTCATAAAATTTGCTACTCCAACAAGCCACAATGTACATCCAAAAATGATGTTTCTCCATGCAATAAAGACGAATATCGAATAGGTTTGGAATCGGCCAATGTGCTCCTATGAAACTATCAAGCGCCTTCATGTCTACAAATAACCACATATTTTTTCAATTCTCTTCTTTGGACATGCAGATCAATGATCTCTTCCAAACATTATACATTCTAAAAAAACTGCACTGCATTATCACTCATTTTTCATTCCATGAAGTATAATTCACACTCTAGGAAAGAGCAAGTTTATTAATGATTAAAGAGAAACTCACGCAAAAATGAAAGATAATCCTTGAAGATGAGATACCATGAATGATTCTACTCTCCCTTATATAGATATTTCAAACACATACACAAAGATAAGGTCTTGTCTCTACCTTCCAATCCTTTCCAAGTGGATTTGTGACATGGATTGGTGACATGGCGGATATAGCTAATAAGCACAAGGATTGCCGACGTGTCGCTCCTTACTAAAAAATCAACCAGCACACTCAATTTTTGTTAAGCAAAAATTGAGTAACAAGTACACGGATTGATGACGTGTTGTTTCTAACTAATACACTAACTTGCACACTTAACCTTTGCTTAACAAGCACACGGATAATAGACGTGTCGTTTTCAACTAAAACACTAATTAGCACACAGATTTTTGATGTGACATTGTAGATGTTTCACTATCATGTACTCTATTCAATCTTGAGTAACCTCTACTTTAGTTCCAACTAACTAAAGATGGTTACAACTAGAAATTAACATTCCAAATTGAAGAAAATGTAGTTCTTAGCTTCAAGACAATTTGTACATCATAAAAAAAAAAAACCAAAAACAAGAATATTTACTTGCAAGCAAAATCAAAGCGTATCAAAGAAAAAACTCTTCTGACAGATACACATAATAAGTTTTTAGTCAAATCCAGAGCCCAACATTGGATGTTCATTTCCATGCCCACGTCCAGATCTAACCATGCCTATGGGTTTTTGGTAGATTTTTTGTCACATTATTTTTTCATGGGTGGGCACAAGTAATGTTGTGGGCAGTATTTGTCACATCCAACTAAGAATTGGTGTAATCAGATATTACACACAACACAATTGGCGTAATTTGAATAGCATGGATGGGAATAGTTTCCTATTGATGGTTATGATATTATTTGGATAGAGTTCTTAAATAAAATGTCGGATTCTAGTCCAATTAGAAAAAATCAACGTTGCATATGGGAAAAATTGCAAAATTAGAGTAAAAATTGAAGTCTGTTAAAGCTCAAGTCAAAGATCTTAAACCCAAACTATATACCATGAGCTGTAAATATGCTGAAGGTAATAATGATTTTGCAGAGAAGTCAACATTCATATGGAGATTTCATTTTCAGCTGCTTGATCAAGATTAAAGCAAGCAGATTCCATGTCTGAGATCAAATGCCATGAAATTGTTCTAGAAAAATCAAAAGTATCAACAAATCCTTAGAGAGCAAGTTCTCTTATCTAGAAGCATATTTTAGTAAATATGCGACTCAAATGAAGTAGTATGGCAAAAAACTCTGATCTTTGCATATTTGACTTGAAGAAGAAAAATTGTTCGACCCAACTGAGTCCAAAGTCATTGATTTAAGTTTAAAGTTGGCATGAACTACTTCAAATATAACTTTCTAAAAAAGTAGATGAAAAAATTCTTGATAAAGTCATTAACATAAAAGCAGTATGAAATTACGTGAAAATAAAAGTTAAAAAAGCTTGAATATCATCTGTCACGCAAATATGCCAAAAAACACAAAAAAAATCTAAAAACACACAACACTGCACTCAAAAATTAACGTCAATTATTCTCTCATGATTCATTGAATATAACACTTTCTTGAAACACTTATACAATGCTCAAAGTTGAACAAGGAATCGTCAAACTTTGTAGTTTGAAATGACAAATTTATTAAATCCCAATTGAGTTTTTCAAAAGATCAATCAACTAAAATTATTCTTAACAAGCAGCAAACTTCAAAAATTTTGTAATTTATTGTTCAATCAATACAATTGACAAGAAAAAATTGTTTACAATTTTCTATGACAAAACTATGAACAGCCTCAGGTTTCATGTATATGATTGTATGCAAAAGATATAATATTGCTTTAGCTATACGCAAGGTGAGCAGATGCATGTCAAATTCAAATAATGTGTATTAGGAAAAGATGAAATACATTTTTAGTTATGTGAAGAGTACCAAGAAAGATGACATTTTGTTTAATGATGTATTAGACAATATCAGATTGTTACTATTCTATGTTAACATAGATTATATTCAAGATCTGAACAAGACAAAATCCACAATTAGATCTGTGTTTACACAAGATGATATATGCATTAGTTAGAGATATACTTTGCAAAATTGCGTAATTTAGTTTACAACAAAATCTAAATAAAAAACAACAAAGAAATTTATTTGATTAAATAGGTTTATCAATGATATAGGATTTTAAAACATGATGTTGTAGATCTTTATTATGATAGTTAGAGTGTATTACATCTTTTTGCAAATCAAAAAATGGACATCAAAGTTAAACAGAGAAGCATGCATCGTTTTGTCAAAAATGCAATTTTTTTCTCAAAAGTATTGAATTAATCAGGATTGAAGATAAATTCAATCTAGTTTGTGCATTGATCCATTTTTAATACACATGGTGTTATTTTACAAGTTTTGCATAACAAGTACAAGTAAAGTTTACTAGCATTTTTTTACCTCAATATATTATTACTCTGTAGTGTTTAACAAAGATTTAATTCTAGTTAACTCTATTTTTAAATGTGAATCTATGTTAGCTTTCTAACTAGACCTTTTCACCATTAAATTATATGTATAATGGAAATTATTGTCTCCACAAGGAAATTGTTATTATTATCTCATGTGTAAACTAAATTAATATAAATTTAACCCTAGTTAGAATTAGATTTAGGGTTCGTCATAAAGAAGAGTCATCCAAAAATTTCATTATATTTACATTCTATAAATCCTTGTGAATCCCGTGGACATAGCTTGGAAATGCCAAACCACGTATATTTTTGTTTCAACGTTGTGTGTGTCTGTGCTTGTGCTTTCTTGTATTTAAGTTTTTTGTTCGTGGATTTTTTGTGAAAAACCTGCAACAACATCAAGTATAATATTTTTATTTTTTTTTGAATAGATAAATATAAAGAGCAAAATATTATGTAATAGATGTGAAAGTGAGATTGATTCTGACTGTGAAAATGGTGTTCCATGGATTTAAAGTTCTACTTCATCATTGATTGAAATGAAGCTTTGTAGTCCAATTTGATTTATCATTATTTTAATTCACTATCTTTGTTAATATCATAAATCATGTGTGAACAAAGTATTTTTTAATCATGCATCACATGAATACAAATAATGATACATTAATGAAAGCAATTAGGTGAATTGATCACTCTTCTAATGCTCAAATAATTTGTAGATCTTCTCCGATAGAAAATTTTGATGCTTTAGATTCATTAGTACAAAGTGTTCATTGTGATGCTATAGGATCTAGTCCCATACATAATCCTTTTGATTGCATCTAATTCCGACCGGACCTCCTCTTCCCATACTTTTTGTTTTTTTAGTAGCATTAAAATTGTAAATACAATATAAATATATTGGATTTACACATGCTGAAGTGGAATTTTCATTCCTCAAATTATTAGAAAAATGTAGAATATAAATTTATGACCAATGTCCAAAGGACTACTTCAAAGCTCAAATTTAGGATGTCTTGTTGATTTTATACATTTATGAAATCAAACCCTAAGCCAACCCTGAACAAGCATTTTCAAACTTTAACCAAACACAATCTCCAATATATACCACGATAATACCACGATAAACTCTAACCAGGATAACCTTCTTGGGTTAGAATGGACTGAATTGATTCGTGTATAACCAAGACTGTATACTGCCAGGTTGTTCGGACCATGTATTGAGGTCTTTATCCTAAGTAATAAAATCGACGACTTAGAATACTGAGTTGTGGAGTAACTGGGTGCTACCAAAGCACTCAGTTTAGCGAGGACTCAGTCCCACGTGGTTTTCGCTGAACTCTTGATTCAAATTGTACTCTCTGAGGTATGTGATTGTTACTTTTCTTCACGCTAGTTGTAAGTCACTGTTTACTGGTTCTACTAGTTGGACGTCAGCCCTCTACTTTGAAGAATACTTACTGCGGTGTTTAGATCCTCTGCTGTAACGTTTTAAGTATATACCCATTCTCCGACTTTGATATTCCTCCCCGGTGTACGTCGAAACATATAGTAACGGTCGTGTATTCGGTGAAAGGTTTTAAATTGTCGGCTGTTGCATAATCAGTATTCGAGGAAGTTTCACATCGATGCCAAATAAGAAATCTACACGATTGACAAAATAGTAGTAAATCTTTGTATTGAAGGTAAGTGAACCATTTTTATTACTCCATTACAAAGTGGACAAATGCACTTCCTCCTTTTTATATCCTCCAGGGATTTCGGGAAAGGTTTGCGTGTTCATAGTCGCTCTATTAATTCCCACAATCGTTATCAATAATGAACAAATCCTCCACACACAAGTGAGGCGGATAACTGTCAATTAGTGTGTAGCTCAAGCATGGTGAGCAACACAGTTGACGGTAACATCGATGGTTTTCGTAATGACATGATCCAAAAGCGAGGGCTAGAATTCAAACATTTAGCCAAACGATTTACATAGGTAAGGTAGCCTTGGCAACCGGTCAACAAAATTGAATTTTATTTCACAAGTTATCAACAAATTGTTGGATTAGGTGAAAAGGCTCATCTGTAATGGGGGGCTGTCAGTAATGAGAGCGGGTTCAATGAGAACCACTAACAGTAATTGAAAAGGGTTCAGACTTCTAATGTGATAAATGAATGATGACTATTTTACAGTCCAATCTTCCGGGTGCATTGATCTGTCAGATTGGCGACAACAAAACCGGCAAACACCTGCACAAATTCGTCACGAACAAGTAGAATGAGCACGCTTGCTGAGCGGAAACGTACTCCCTATTGGAACTGAATATAGACATTTACTGACGAAAATGCTAGCCAAATTTCAGGTTCAGAAAATAGACGAATCCTTACCTGAAGTGAACCTAGGACATATATGCCTGAATAATGACGACCATGAACCACCATGTCCGCAACCATAGCTAGGGGGATTGTTAAGGACATGCCCAAAGTAGCAACCAAAGGTGTTGTCCAGACCACGGACAAAGCCCTACAGGTTTAAAAACGATGAACAAACAATTCAGGCTTAGGTCATAAATGAAAGATCTTGCCGTGCTAATAACGTATCAGATTCGCTTGAGTCATAGACAATGCTCTAGGTCCAAGAGACTCGACCTCATGTACGAGGACTTAGAGCAAAGAGGTTATATGGTGGCAGACAGGGCGTACTCGTGTTTGCAACCTTCAGTGAAGCTGAACACGTCAGGCCACTTATGATAATTCTCATAGGGAGTATAGACTGCTGGCATTACTTACCAAAAATAATCCGAAACAACACTTCCAAGAATTCCATTGGCTAAAAGAACTTCATCCACCTTGATTGTCGTAGGAAGGCTGAAGACAGGCTCCAATCCTAACCAACTAAGAGGCCAAACTGCACACAGAAGAGAGGTCTTAGGAAGCCGTCGCTGCCCAAGATGTAAGTACATACCATTGGAATCCGCGCTAACTTAGACGTCTCGAAGACGACACAACACTATATGGGCATGAGATAAATCGTCTTCCAGAATGAGTGTACTGGATAGAAGTACAAGCAAGTTGTACATGAAGCTAAATTGCAATTGTTGACTTACTTAGCCACCACAACCCAAAAAGTGTAAACAACCCGATGTAACCAAAAATCCGTTGCATGTCGACGTGGCTGCCTCCTTCACCAGCACTCTTCTTTAATAGAACTGCCGGCAGCAACATACAGACATACTATTAAAGTAGATGCTTCAGCAATTGAATAAACAGGTGATAATACGCGAGGGCTTCAGACACAAAAAATTGCGTGTATATACATATGCTTCAGCAAGTCTAATTATTCGCAGTGCAATGGGCTGGTCTCTTGAAGCGGAAGTGGGTATCCAGAATAGACAAGGTGATAATCTTGTCTATTTTTGCACGCCCATTTCAGGCTTGAGCGGTAGCAATACAACGAAACACATGGCAACATGTAAGAAGCGATCAACTACAAAGGCTTAAACGTCAGGGAAAAATCCTAATCGAAGCATCCATGACAATATTAGCAGAATATGGAGCAAAGACATGAAAATGGAAAGCAAGTCGTAGAATCCAGGAAGGTTGGACTGATTAATGCATCCAATTCAGACGGAAAAAACAACTCAATAATGAAAAATATGGGCGGTGTAGGCTGCCACGAGATATGCGATCATGACACTGCTTGGTGGCGTCAACAGAGTGTACAGGGCTGCGTAGGTTTCTGCGCGTATTTGGAAGAAGTAGAACTCCAGTTTGCATCGCAATGATGCATCCCGCAAGCAGGCCCAGCGGATGTCATCTAGCCTGGAGCCGCCTTGCTATAAGAACTCAGACTTATAAAGTGGCCATCAGCAGAATGGCACTCGATCCAAAAGCAAGAGGTTGACTTACTTGTGAAAAGACCATAGGATACGGCTGAGCAAAGACCAAGAGCATCACCCCACAAAGAATGTTGATCCGAGCTGAGACATGGCCAGACCATAGAATTCTAATCAATTGTCAAAACCAACCTGATAGACGTGCATTACAATGAATAGTTCGAAACAAGAGCTACACACAAGAAATAAGCCCATACAGTCCTCAGATGACAGTACTGTGCTAAGACATGATGCATTAGGCACGAAGTCCCAATGAGTCTTCTAACCTTAGATCGGAGTCATTTTCTGATGAATATAAAGTTACAACTCTGGTCAGAGCCTACTACTTCAATCTCAGTGGGAAAGATACAACAAAAGATGGCACCAATAAATCTCATGAAATATGTGCACTTTCTAACTTCAAACATTGAGCTCTTTCTCTTCGACATGCCTATTCTGTGTTGGCTCCGTAACACTCACCTGTCATCAATGGCATTTTCTGCCTCATCAGTGGACCATGTCTTCCCAAGAGTCGTCATAGCAACTCCTGTTATGGTCATGATCACAGCCACGGCCTTGGAAATGTTGAAAGAGTCTTGTCCAAGAATAGTACCAAAGACGAGAGTGAAAAGACCTGCTGTGGATGATAGTATGGTTGTGCTTGCAACACTAGTGAGAGCAAGGGCTCCATTCGATAGATACTGCCATGGAAAAGATGTCAGAAAAATTGATCAGCTCATGGCAAAACAAACATGGGTCTTACCCATGTTTGTTTAGTAAAAACAGATAACTTCAGTGGTGGCATCATCCATAATGAGAGGGCAACAGATAACCCAAGGCTTAAATAATTAATACACACAAGGGTGAAGCTGGAAACTTAGATTTATATATCTCACCTCGGTCAAGAACCATAAAGGGGCTAGCATAAAACTTGCTTTGACAAGATCCCATGAAAGTAATTTGCCATGATTCTTGGCTGGGTGTGCACTGTCCACCCGACTGAAAGATGCACTCTCCTCTTCAGGTTCCAAGTCCAGATCGGAGTCTTTCCTAAGCATGAGATGCTGAAGTTCTAAATCTGAACCTTTCCGACCATTTTTTAGCGGAGATTTCATAGGAGAGTCGCTGGGAGTAAGAGCACTGAAGGTTCCAGGACTCTTGCGTGCTTTGACTATACATGATTTTATCTGATCGTTCAATAAAGAGATAGGCAGATAGACGATAAGAAGAGACGCTCCCAGCCATGTGAGAACAAATGGATGCCGGTAGGCTGTGAAAATGCTCTGCATCAGCCAAAACAATTACACTTAACATGAGCGCAATTTTCCAGAGAGCAAACGATGAGTATTCTTGGTCATTTCGCCACTGAAACTACATTCAAAACCTTCGGACCGTAAATTCCAACTAAGAGATTGCTTACTGTTGTCTAGCACAGAAGAGAAAAAGTGCCAGAAGCTTATCAAATGCTATGGACACATGACGATAATTGAGGTTTATTCAAAGAGTCGAACAGATGTAGATTGTACAAAGCTAAACCTATGATACATCAGATATAGATAGATTACTAGGGTGATCAAGAGGCCGTCTAAATTGATATCTCTTATTTGGATCTGATTTACACGTCAGACCGCAAACATTATGCATGATATCAAACTTGATCGTAAATTCCGCTTGAATGGAAGCTCATATTCCAGACGTAGAAAATTCCAACTTGTCAACAATTAGCAGTGAGAGCTACCGTTCTAGTTTTTCGACGCGACGAAATTCAATGGAGGATGTCGAAGAAAAATCATTGACCTATTTTAAACAACTATAAAAAGCTAAAGTCGAAGGGTAGTTAGAACAGAAGACAATTTCATCCGATGAAGTTGCGATGTTTAGCTAGATTTGTTGCTCAAATCTCCGGAACAAACTAAAACGCATCCTCATATCCTACAGTATTTTTTCCCATCACATGGATCACACTGTATAACACTCATAAAAGATTGGTTATAAACCCAAAAAAGGCTTCAGCGGTAACCACACAAAGTATACGAAACATCCTTTATCTGGTTGTGACTGTCATAGATACTGAACCAGACTCAGTACTCAAATATTCTTAGCTATAAGTGACTCCAATCCCAATTGATCGCTTCAAATATCCCTCTGCAATCGGAACCTGAATCCTGTCGTTACTTCCGGGACTTTCATTCTTGCTCTTCAAATGCTTATTGTGATGCTAAATACCAGGCAGCAACTTTGTTAAGCTACCTCTCCCTTGACTCACTTCAAATCGCAAGGATTGAACAGCAAGTCATGAAAACCATCATTAACCCTGCAACAGCTCTCCGAATTTACTCTTCTTAAGCATACCTTAAAATACAAATGTTCTATGTAGAATTCAGATAGATCTACAAACTAGACTTGAGAACCTGGATTGCTCAACACGATACTCGGCACCGAAGATTTCAATTTTGGTCCATATAATAATCGTCATTTTAACCAATTCGTGATAAAGAAACGGGAAAAGGGACCTGTAACAACTCAGATCAAGATAGCCAACAGACAAAATGGGAAGCATCCCGTTTGAAATGCAAAATTAGATCTGAGTTCTGATTCCTCTTCTAGATGTTGGATGAGTTTATCCAGGTGAGGTCAACACGTTCGACGGTCTACGAACGTTCTGCTCGGTTGATGTCAATTCAATCCTCCTAAGACTTCATATTGACCCAATCATGCGAAATCACAGCGTCAGTTCAGACAACAACGTACCTGAGTAACCTCTGCTGAAGTGACCCATATCAGAACCACTGTTCCTATGAGAATCAAACCTATTCTGTATTTCCACCCCATCACCGTCCAGCCAGACTACCCAGGAGGATAAAACTACCAATGCTCCATCATGATTTTCCCTGAAAGAGGAAGATCTCACTCAGTTAACGAATCCAACCCATGAATCTCTCTCTCACTTCTAAAATAATCTGGTGGCACAAACAAACCTCCCACAACTCGCAACGCCACACGTTTATCTTCGAGAAATCAACCGCATTCCTCCCTCTCCAACTGCTCTTGAGATCTGGACAAAGCGAAAAAATAGAACCCTCTGCACTCTCGCTGTCTACCACACTTGCTTCCGCATGTACCCAAAAAGCCTAATCTAAACTGTAAATCCAAAAAATTAACACTAGATCCCGTCAAAACGAAAATACCCGGAACTTTGAGAGTCGAATGAAACCAAAAACAGATCAAACCCGTACCAAGCACAGGCATAGCTGAGAGCCGGAGTAGCACCCTGTCCTCAATCTTTTCTCGTTTCCCTCTGTCTGTCACTACCTCTCTACACTCTGCTGTCTTCTTCCTTCTCAAACTAGTTCCGCCTCATGCGTGTTCTTCAAAACTCTATCTTCACTGGCTACGATGTCTGTCTACGACTCTCCAGTCTGGTCCTGCACCGAGCGTAAACTGCTCTTAGTGCAACTCCCTCCACTGAGGAGAGCAGGGGATAAGGCAATGCAATGAAATGCAACCGTAGAACTACCCTTTGTCCTCCTGGCTTCTCCCTACTTCCGGCCTTCTTTTTCCTTACCCTCCGTTTCTATTCTGTTCTGTTTCTGCTGCGATTGCTCCCGGGTTCGAGGACGCCGTATTCGACCAAATCCACTGCTCTTGTCGCCTCCTGCGAATTTACGAAATTTCCTCTGCGAAGCGTGGCTCCCACTCCCCTCGTATCAAATAATCAATAATGCAACAAGGCAGCGGACAAACGGACGAGCCCCGAATCACAGTAGCAGCAAGTCTGCGGGGCCATCTTCTGCCATCGATTGATTCTGTAAACCCTCCTCTTCTCCTCCCCTTTCCTTCCCTCGCTCCCCTTCCCTTCCTCACGTCCTCTCTTCTTCTTCCCCCTGTTGCGCGAGCCCCCGGGCGCCGGTCAAATGACCGGATGCGCTTCTCTGCAGGAGATGACGGACTGCTACCTCCGCGGGAGGGTCCCGGTAGGCCCTCTCACAAGCCCTCGCCAACCCCACTGGCCGCCGGGACTGTGGAATCCGTAGGTGCTCAATATAGCTCCTCGCGGTGGAATCGTCGGCGCATGTACTCACTACGATTATTTGTCGGATCCAGTCGGGACTCTCCGGCCGACGAGGTGGGGGAGGGTCACCCGGTCGGAGCCGACATGGGGTACACCCATGAATGATAAAGTATGGGATGACCGGCTTGGGCTTGGGCTTTTCATACGAGTGCCGTCAGATGAGAGTTTGCAGGGTGGATCAACCGGTCGAAGGCCTTGGGGAACAGAACCCGGAGTGGATCCTTCAAAAGGCGTTTGTATGCGAACACCGGTACGGCCGGGGGCGGGGATGTCTCTGAGCACCGTGGACGCTCCGTAACTTCGAGTGGGGTTTGTGAAAGGAGAGTGGCGTCACTGGCGATGGTAGCTCGTGTGGGGTCAGTTCGAACGAACCGATGAATGAGCAACAACGTGGGTTGACGTGATGCCACGTGGAAGGGGATCGAAGCACTCCCTGTATGCGTGACGGCTGGGTATGTTGTCGACATGGATCATGCGCAGGCTCTACGTGCGACAGCATTGACCTCCTCGCTGCCCGTGCCTTTTTCTGCTGCCGCTCTTCGCTCGCTCATTCCTTCGAGAATCAATCACGGTATGACTTGTTTACCCGCATCCAACTTACGCGAGCGCAATGATGGCTAAATTCTTTTCGTTGTTCTTTTTGCTTCATACTTTACTTGTCTTGCAAAGATTTGAAAGTTCGTGCCAGCCGAGTTTTTGCTGAGTGCAGGTCCGCAAGGACTTTCACATCCGTAGATGACTGATCAAGCACTGACTCTACGTACAGTTGTATCTATAGAGGTGTGTATATATATAGAGTATTTTCTGTCTTGTAAAGTAAGGTCTAGTAGCAACTACATTGATTTCGAAACGAGTGTTTGCAGCACTAATTGGGAAAGTCTTATATAGCAATAGTATTTGTGCACCAAACTCAGATGAGATATGAACAAAACCTGGAATATTCATTATGGCCAATTAAGTTGACTATTTTGACACATCTCACATTTTAAGATGCAGTGCACAGGGTATTCAAGGAGGAGGAAGTCAAAGATTCCAAAATGAAACTCCCTAGATCCATCACGTTTGATTTCAAACTGAGGGTGCTTGGGTCCCCATGCTTCATAAGACGTATCCAATATGGACCTCCCTTCATTGAAGCTGGTTCTAGCTTTACTAAAATAGTTTAAGTTATCTCTCGGTTGGCGGGTATGAGGAAACCCCCATGCTCGACCTCCCCTCACTACACTTTTGTCAGAGCTTCAATAATAGAGATTGTAGGGTATCATCTTTCGTTGGCGGATATATGTATGGGGTCTTTATCTTTTCTTTCTCCCTCTTTACCTTTGTAGCGCTTGCCTCTACGCTGTATTTCAACGCCTATGAGTTTGAATTGAAGGTGTGAAACTTCATCGTTTGGCCACGATGAGTTGATCACGTTGTCACAATGTTCTGTCCGTGTACATCCTACAAATTGGTACGATGTGAATATATTCAACCAGTTTTACTTTAGCCAGTGTACAGAAACTATCAACCTTAAGGCAAATCCAACTTTATTTTATAATGTTATTTTCTGTAAATCAACATAAACGTCAAAAACTTCACAATATTTGCATAGATAAAGCGAACATAAATCTTTGTGTTTGCACTTCTTGTATAAACATGAAATTTACTCGTCATATGTAGCAACTAGCATCTAAATTATCTTTCAGCTTATTTTGTAGCACATGTCAATTGCATGTGGACAATTATTCCAGATCTGGATTGGCCACAGTTATATAATCATTTATATACTCTGGGAATTATGTTTCTTGATCATTTGAAGTAATAGTAATCTCTATCTAATAACAAAATTTGATAATACTTTTTGTGTGTATTCCATCATGTAAAGTGGTAGTTAGTTACTTGATGGGAACCCATAGGAAACTAAATTACTTATTGGGAAACTTTAAGTTTTGTTTCACCCTATAAGATCTCACCTACCGTACACATCACGCATGGTCATCAACAAACGGTGTAGGCAATGGAACTAGTAGAGATTTGCACAATGAAGTTTGTTTAATCCGCCACAAAAGAGCTTGAATTGCGTGTCGAGCAAAACAGTGTTTGCCTCATATTCTTTGATGATTTGGGGAAAAAATCTTATCGGAGTTGATGAAGCTTGTTTAATCGACACAAAAGAGCTTGATTCGCGTTTCGAGCAAAACAGTGTTTGCTTGATGTTCTTTGATGATTTGGGAAAAAAATCATATCCGAGTCGATGAAGTTCGTTTAATCCGGCACAAAAGAGCTTGAATCGCATTTTGACAAAAACAGTGTTTGCCTGATATTTTTTGATGATTTGGAAAAACAATCATATTGTAGTCAATAATTGAATAGTGAAATTGTTTAGTCACAGATGCACAACTTAACAGATTTACCATATATGATATCGGATCTAACAACAACATCTTTGAAATCTTTTGTCATTCCTCGACAATTTGACTTCGTTCGAAGAACAATGTGATCTCCGACGTACAGCATGCAGAGTATGAACCAAGCGCGAGGTTGGACAAAAGCATAATCTGTCAATTTTCTAGACAAATTTTGACACAAATTTCATTTCATTGAACATGGAATTCGTCTGGCAGCGAGATACATGGATGGAGGTGACAACTTAAAATCTGCATCAAGTGACAGATTTTTGTCAAGAAATTTGATAGAAATAATGTCAAATTTGAAACAGTACCAATTTGCAATCGCAAAGATTTAAAATTTGCATCATATGTGTACATGAACATGTTTTAGAACTTTGCGACGGTGTGCAGTTAGCGGGCTTCTATGGGATTAAACAAAGCTTGATGGGTCCCGTTAATCAATTTAGATTTCAATGAAATTCCATTAAGTAAATGCCATGTAAAATGAAGATAATGTCTAACAAAATTATCATCCATTGATTTTTTTATCTACAATTAATTATTGCAATCTAATTACTATATATCTCATTTAGCTAGTCACATATTCTATCTTAAGAAATAAATTAAATTCAGCAATTTTAAAAAATATTTAGAAAATCAATTCAATATTCACAACGCACATTATACTCAAATTTTTTTCCTATAGATTCATTACATCTCACATATAAAGAAACATCAAAATTAAATTAATTTATTTTTTGATAAAAAAACTTAGATTTAAAATAAGTGGTGATTTGATTTTAAATTGATAGGTCATATTTTTAAGGTTATGATTCAATATTTAATTTCATTTAAATTTTATATAATTATTTTTTATAATGATATAATATTTTTAAATTTTAATAATTATACATTATATATTCATATCATATTCATTTAATATTAAGTAATAAACTGTGTTATATTTAGATATTAAATATGAAAAAAAATTCACTTTATTTTGTGCACTTCAATTTTCAAATATTGAGTTTAAATTTAGTTGAAATTAATTAAAATACTATGTAGGTTGATTGTAAAATATGATTATTTTTCACCATTATATGTGAGGTTTGCGCTATCTAAAGTGTTGATTTATAGAAGTTCTATTGATAAAATGTGAATATTTTACATGAATTCATTCTTGATAAGTTGAACTTTACATTTTTCATGCTTTTATGTATGTTCAATTTTTCACAATTATTTTGTAAAAAATCATTAACTACTAACATAGAATAATCTCATGAATTTCACTAATAATAATTTCAATATATTTTTTATTGATTTTTAACTTACAATTTTTAATATGTATAAAATTTTTTTTAAAATCAAAATCAAAATCAAATCAACATCAAATATTTTATTATGATGAACATGATAGTTTACAACTTCAGATAAAAAATGATCAAGATGCATATATATATCACTGTGCTATTTCTTTCATTAATAACAATATGTTAAAACATTTAAATGATATAAATCGTATAAGATTGGCTAATACATGTGTATATTACTGGCAACATGAACATATTTCTAGCTTTATATATTGATTTGTATAATTTCAAAATGTATTAAATAAAAATAATTTTCATTGTTTTGATCATTCATGTATGTATAAATCATTTTGAAATTTAATTCACGGCAAAACATTACAATTTTACAATGTATTCTATTCTTAATATTACAAATAACATTTTACAAATAATCTTATTAACAAATGAAATAAAAAGAATTTCACATACGATACATTCACTGTTATAAAATGCATTTATTTTAATATTCTTATGTGTATTATTGTTGTTAAATTATATATTTGTATAATTGAGTTTAAATCCAGTTAAGGAGTAACCTCATGCCTAGCTATTTATATTTAATATTGGTCGTCTGGTTACTTATAGTTAAGATTGGTCACCTAGATTGGATATATATACCCAAAGTATGTGTATCACCAAACAATAAGCACAATATATTATCACTATTCTCTCCTTGGACGTAACCCTTGAAGGTGAACCTCGTTATACTTTGGTTTCTCAAGTTGATTGCTTTGCTTGTCGAATGTGTCATTGATGATTCTTGTGTTTTACATGTATGTACAGAATTGATAATTCTATATAGATTATATGTATAAATTTGTCTATTTTTAATGATTTATCATAATAAAAAATATTTTCAGGTTAATTTTCAAAACTATTATTAAAATAATGATAAATGAATTATATCTAGCCCTTTTTGCCAGAACATTTTTCTTTGAATGCAAGTACAAGTAATAAAATTTTCCAAAAATTTTTCAAATATTTAAAAGTAGAAACTATCAAAAGATTATAACATTCTTATGCACATAATTTTAAATAATTGTAGTTAATAAAAGAAAATACCAATTGTGATTTTTTAATAACTTATGCATCTTGGAAAAACTCAAGTTATATATGTTTAAATGTATATATTTGATAATACATGTGT